ATAGTAGTAAGTATAAAGTTCTTTCCTTTATTTTGACCCAAAGTATTTTTTTATTGTTTTTGACGTTCCTTTTGCTGTGTTCCTCTCTGTAGTTTATTCCCAAACTTCCAGTCATGGAGTCCATGCTGTGTGGCTTCATGAGTTGGGACTTTGTGCCCCTTTAGGAGAATGCGCATGCAGCCATATCAAATAATGTGTTAAAAATTGTTTTAGGTATTATTTTGCTATAGTATAATTCACTAAATCCTTTTGTTTTAGAATGCACCTTGCTATCTATAAAGATTCCATAAAATTGGAGTCTCTTGTTTTCAAGACTCTTGTAGGAGGGTGACTTGGGATTCAGGTCTTCTTTGCAACCTGACCACAATAATTTTTTTTTTTTAATTGATAATTTTGTTTAGCCACTTGCCTACCGGCCACTTTAACCTCCTTCCTGCCCAGACCAATTTTCAGCTTTCATTGCTGTTACACTTTGAATGATAATTGCGCAGTCATGCAACACTGTACCCAAACAAAATTTTTATAATTAATTTTTCTTATGGTGATATTTAGTCACTACTGGGGTTTCTATTTTTTGCTAAACAAATTAAAATAAACCAAAAAGTTTGAAAAAAAGTTTCTTAGTTTCTGTTATAAAGTTTTCTAAATAAGTGAAATTTTCTCCTTCATTGATGTGCATTGATGAGGCTGCACTGATAGGTGGCACTGATGGGTGCTGATAGATGGCACTGATAGCAACTGAAGGGCACTGATAGCACAGCACTGATGGGCTCTATTAGCCAGCATTGGTGGGCACTATTGGCCAGAACTGATGGGCACTATTGGCCAGCACTAATGGGACTGATGGGTTACACTGATAATCAGGGCAGGGTCTATCAGTGCCCTGACGATTCGCGTAGATGTCCCCTCTGAGGAATACCACTTACCAGCTGTCCTCCTCTCGCTGTTAGCATGAGGAGAGGACTGCTAATAACCAGCATTTCCTGTTTACACTGTGATTGGACACAGCTGATCACATGGTAAAAGGACGCTCTGATTGGCCCTTTTACCTCATTCCAAGATCAGATGTATCCAAAGGATCATGCAGGTGCGAGCCCCAGGGGGCACGCGGGGGATGTGGTTCTGGGAGGATGTCCATGTATGCCCTTCAGAACTAGCCAACCACGCTGTAGCTGTCTTTTGGCTATAGCTCAATTGGGAACTGGTTAATTATTTAAATCAGCAGGCCTAAAATAAATTGACTAGAATACAATTTACCATTTTGTAGATTTTTACTTTTGTCTACACCTACAGTATGAAGGTTTTTTTTTATTTTTTCAGGTATCTTTAAGGCTGGCCATAGATGGATCTTCTTTTTTTTATTCAGCAAGTAGGCTGAAAAAAAAATGTGGATTCCTCTATCCACTCAACAGAGGTAGATTGAGAAATTCTCCCCGTTGAGATATTGTATTCTGACCACAGAGACTCCCGCTATCAGAATACGCTGACCCAGGGGCAGACTGACCATTTGGAAACTCTGGCACTGCCAGAGGGCCCGGGGTCAGTAGGGGGCCTCATGAGATGACTCTGGTACCTTTTTCATAGGCTTTTTTGAGTTTGGGCAAGGACACAGGGGCCCCATGATCCCCTATTGCCGGGGGACCCCATGAGTTGTCAGTCCGCCCCTGTGCTGATCATTGACTGCAGCCACTGTTCAGGAAAAACTTTTCCAAGAAGCCTGTTTGACAGAAGTTGACTGTTAGATCGAACTTCTCTCAAAATGTGAATGGTCACACATGTCCAGCATGGACTGGCCTAACTTGGATCCATGTGCAGCTACTCTCGCGTGACAGAAGTCCATCTAATGATCATGGCTATAGCGGGGCCTGGTGCTGAACTACTTTGCACCCTAGGCAAGACCAGCTACTTGCCCCCCCCCCCCCCCAAAAAAAAAACTTTTTTAAAAAAGCGTAGAAAATATTACATCAACAAAACGTGAAACTGCTAAATTGCTTTTAATGTTCAAACACAAGCACCATAAGATACCACCAGCACCAATATTAAAGACAAAATCAGTGTCCCGGACGGACTGTATCTGTGGCTGGTAGTGGCAGGGTGACAGTTGCAGTGAGTGGAGGATGATGGACCCACATTCTGACAGATCCCAGCCAGGCAATGGGGGGGAGGTAAAATGCTGTGACCGCAGGCAGCCCAGCCCCCACACACACAGAGAACACCTGAACTGAGTGATTCCACCCAGTGACAGATCCAACACAACACACCACCAACACTGACACAGATCAGCAGGTCCAGCAGGCACTAGAAGATCAGGCTGTGGGATCGGGATGATGTTATCACTCACTGACACATTGCACATGTGATGGATGGATGGCTCACACCTCTCCTCTCTCTCACCTCCCCTCTCTCCCTCTCCCCTCTCTCTCCTCCTCTCTCTCCCCCCTCTCCCTCTCCCTCTCCCCTCCTCCCCTCCCCCCTCTCTCTCTCCTCCCCTTCCTCTCTCTCTTTATACTCCCTCCCCCCCCCTCTCTCTCCCCCTCTCCCTATCTCCCTCTACATCCCTCTCTCTGTCCCCCCCCACTCTCCCCTCTCCCTCCCCCTCTCTCCCTCTCCCTCCCCACTCCCCCCTCCCTCTCCCCCCCCTCCCCCCCTCCCCCTCTCTCTCCCCCCTCCCTCTCCTCCCCCCCTCTCTCCTCTCTTCCCCTCTCTCCCTCTCCCCTCCCTCTCCCTCTCCCCTCTCTCCCTCTCTCTTTTCCTCCTCCTCTCTCTCTCCCCTCTCTCTCCTCCCTCTCTCTCTCTCTCTCCCCTCCTCTCTTTCTCCCCCCTCTCTCTTCTCCCCCCCTCTCTCTTTCTCCCCCCTCTCTCTTCTCCCCCCTCTCTCTCTCCCTCTCCCCCCCTCTCTCTCCCCATCTCTTTCCCCCATCTCTCTCTCTCCCCCCCTCTCTCTCCCTCTCTCCCTCTCGTCCTCTCACAGAAAAAATACCTTGATCAGTGCCAGGGTTAGGGTCAAAGGCTAAGGTTAGGATCAGTATAATTTTTGGCAGGATGTTTTTTTTTTCAGTAGTATCAGTGTCAGTTGGTCTGTGTCTTTTTAGATAGGACAAAAAAATAGCAAAATGTGCAGTATTGTTTTGGGGCCCTACGGGTATAAACAACTAATAACATACACATATGTGGCATCCGTGCAATCATCAGGAGCAAGAGAATTTATTTTGGATTGTTCTTTGGTGGTAGGTTTTGGTAGTAATAGGAAATATATATTTGAGAAAAAAAATTTATTTTTTTTTACTATTTTTGGCAGTTTTCCTCTGATAAAAAAATAAAAAAAAATCAGGAGATGATATCCATTACTATTCACCACCAGCTGAAAGCCCAATTTGTCTTGAAAAAAAACGCAATGTAATCCACATGGATGTACAAAGTAGTTGTGATGTAATGTATGCTTTTTTTCTAGCACATGTCAAAGTTGCAAAATTGTGCTTAGGCATTAGGATTTGTTTTACCCTTGAGCGGGAAGGGGTTAAACATTGTGTGTTTAGTATCACATTAAGAGGCCAATCAATGCACAATCTCTCCAACTAAGCAAAACCAAATTCATATTTAATTTTTAGCAGAAAAGCTGTTTCAGCATTTTTATTTTACCCAATGGAAAGGAGAGGGAGAGACCAGTTTATATAGGCTCAAAAATGCCCATTGAGGTCTTTAAGGCCAAAAATAACCAAATCTGCCTCAGAAGTAGCTTGCTTTTGGATCTTCAGGTCTTAAGCTACAGGCATCTGAGCGCTCATTGGTCAACAGTCCCCAGTGAAATACATGGGATCAGGGCTTTTTTTCAGTGGGAAAGCAGGGGAATGCAGTTCCGGCACCTCCAGCACTGACTGTATGTAATAGCAAGAGGTGCTGGAGGGTCTATTGACCCTAGGGGATCTATTGTTGTTGGGTGGGGGGATCTCTTGTGTGACGTGGAAGGGGCAGTTCCTGCACCTGTTCTCGGAGGGAAAAAAAGCCCTATATGGGGGGCAGCACAGTGGCCATATATATATATATTAAAATATACTAATTTACTAATTGTTATATAGTTATATTGTTCTAAATGATACGTTTAGAATTAGATAAATATATAAATTATAATTTATCCCTTAAATATTATATATAATTTATCATTTCCATAACTATTATCCTATTTTATTCTGAATGAGAAAAAGGTAATCAATATTAACACGTTATAAGATAATTTCCAGTTTATTAGTAAAATCAAACTTTGTGTTAGTTATATAAATTATAATTTATTCTTTTAAAGGATATATCATTTATCATTTCCATAGCTATTATCATGAATTCTCTGAATGAGAAAAAGTTAATAAATAATAACATATTTATAAGATAAATTTCCAGTTTATTTGTAAAATCAAACTTCGTAATAATTATATAAATTATATTTTTTTCCTTAAAAATGATATATGTAATTTTTTCATTTCCATAGCTTTTATCATATTTTATTCTGAATGTGAAAAAGGTAATCAATAATAACATGTTATAAGATAATTTCCAGTTTATTAGTAAAATCAAACTTTGTGTTAGTTATATAAATTATAATTTATGCTTTTAAAGGATATATCATTTATCATTTCCATAGCTATTATCATATTTTATTCTGAATGAGAAAAAGTTAATAAATAATATATTTATAAGATAATTTCCAGTTTATTTGTAAAATCAAACTTCGTAATAATTATATAAATTTTTTTCCTTAAAAATGATATATGTAATTTTTTCATTTCCATAGCTTTTATCATATTTTATTCTGAATGAGAAAAAGGTATTAAATAATAACATGTTATAAGATCATGTATTATACATTTTTATTATTATTAATTTATTTGTAAAATCAAACTTCGTATTCGCATGGTGTGAAGTGATCACCATTATGATTTCCTCCAGCAGTTCTGCAACAATTATACAGCTCAGCCGGGCTTTCCTCGACCTGCGGATCTCCATCGGTCTCGGCTCGAATTGTTGGTGGTTCAGAGGCGGTGGAAGGGGCGTGGCCGTGGCAAGTCAGTCTGCGATACCTGGGCAGCCATGTCTGTGGAGGGTCCCTGATCAGTCGCACGTCAGTTCTCACTGCTGCTCACTGCTTTCAGTAGTAAGTTCTGGTTTTACACCATAGATACAGTGGATGGGCTCAGGACGCATTTAGTGCAAAATCTGCGCATTTTGGAATTCAAGGGGATTTTTTTTTTTTTTTTTACAAGAGGTTCGCAGTACATTACTGTGAACATAGTAAGGAGTAGATGAGTAGAGGGGGGAGGCTTACCACTTCTGCCAGGGTTTTAATATTAAAGAATAAGGGAAGAAACACCCAACATGTTTCAGGCTCACCATCCTCTTCATCAGGGCTTGTGTTGTAGGTTGAGCCTGAAAAAATACATGATATTCAAAATAATGTATCAGCATACTTTTTTTTACTTTTTTGGACCAGCATGCTTAGTGAATTCACTGATGCACTATTCCAGACTGAGGTCAGGCCTTACGTACTGAAGGATAGACGTGTTAGTAGAGCACTGGAACCCAAACAGGAGGGAAAAAACTGTAAAACCAGATTTTAGAGGAAACTCTCTGTCAGCTGAGTATTCAAAGGGGCTCCCGAAGTGATCGAAAGAATGTGAGAAAGATGAGAGTGCCAAGAAAAGCCAACACGTTTGGGCGCTTAGTGGCCCCCTTTCATCAGAGACCAGAAACTTGGGTGAGTTCAGGCATGTTTGGACATGAGTCTGAACCCACCTGAGCTATCCAGCCAGGAAGCTGTCACTGCGAATAGCCAATCATAAGCAGTGGAGTTATCCCCTTCCCGCAGCCGGAGCATGGATAAGTTTGCAATTGTGGGACAGGGAATGTCTCTGCCACTTGTGATTGGCTGTCTCCAGTGACAGCTTCCTGTGGGTTCAGACTCGTGTACAAACACACCTGAGCTCATCCATGTTTCAGATCGGATGTAATTATTCTGATCACAGGCTGTATGCTGGAGCTCCCTCCCCTGTCACCATTTTTCTCTTGGTGTCAGGAAAACATGTCAAAAGTGACTCATGCAGGCAGCAGACAGAAATGACATTTAGTGATCTGGATTGAGACAAGTACACACTATAGAGGGATGTCCTTTGTTTATATTTCGTGTCTGAGGTTTACAACCACTTAAAGACCTTTGAGAGGGCCAATGGGAAGGGACGGGAGGGTGTAAAAGTGTATGCAAACCATGAAAGTTACTCTTTTGCTCCCTTTTTGGTCTGTTACATTGGAATTGGAAAAAGCCTAAGTCTAACTGTTCCTAAAAGTGTTCCCACCTCTTACCTATCCCGCCTAACCTGTATAAGAACAATCTGTGTACTTACCTATGTTTAACCCACTGTGGTCCAGTCATGTGTTCCTGCCCCTCTGGCTCAGGGAGCACTCGAAAATAGCTGGCATTTCTGGGAGCCGTGAAGTCACCTGTAGGATTCCGTGGCCCAGCTGCTGTTGAGGCTTCCTCTTCTCCCCTGCAGCAGCCTCTCACTGACACAAGGAACCTGAAGCAGTGGAATGACTTGATTGGCCAGGGTAAGCACACAGATCTTTTTTTATAACGGTAAGGCAGAATAGGTGGGGGAAGGGGGAGGGAATATTCCATTTTAAATTAAAGGATAAATTCATCTTTAGGAACATGTTACACATCCCCCCCATTTTTAGGATGGATGTAACATGTTCCACTCCTGCAGCTGCTCCCCAATTCCCCCCCCCCCCCTTCCTGTGACAGAAGGCCAGGGATCTTCTCCTCCTACATGGCCAACTCATTAATTCATGGAGTTCTGTGAATGAATGAACTACAAGTACCAGCAGCCTTTGCGGTTGTCGTCTTGTAGTTTTCAATGAACTACCACGGCGCTGTGGAGCACTCTAGGTAGTTCATTGATTCTTCCTGTTGGTGTGTAACTGCCTTCCTGTACGAGGCACGAGCAGACAGCTTACACTGACAGTCTGCAGGAGCCTGAGATTGCACCACTTATCTGCTAATCGCAGGTGCAATACTTTCCAGACCCCTACAAATAAAAAATTGTAAATGCACATTTTTTTACCTGCAAAGAATGTGCACTTATTTATTAATTTTGTTAAAGCGAACTTATCCTTCAAAAACAAATTTGCTATTTCTGTTGATAAAAGTAAAAAAAATAGCTGCTGAACCTGCCAGAAATTCAGTGCTGTCCTGGGTCCTATACCCTGTGCATTGCTATTAGCCCTGCTCAGTTCTGTATCTGAACTACATAACACCTCCCCTATGCTATGGAGATGAACAGAGGGAAAATCCTATTCTAAGTGACAATGCAGCTCTTCCGTAGGTACAGTCCAGTGAGAGTTGTCACCCTAAGGCAGGAAATGTGTTACTGACAGGATCACCAGGTGAACATAAACTGAAAAATTGTCTGAAAAAATGAAAACAAATGCAGCTACCATGTCTAAGGATGAGTTAAGCTGCACATATCTTGTAAGTTCCTGGGTTTAGATACACTTTAATATTTGCCAGAACAATTCATGCTTCTGTAGCAGCTGAAAGACGATCCGTTATCTACTTCTGTGTATCATCATGATTTCTTCTTCCAGCTCGATGACTCCCGCTGACTACCAAGTGGCTCTCGGCTCCTATAAACTGTCTCTGCATAACGCAAATGTAGTTGTCTCCAAGGTGCAAAGGATCCTTATTAATTCCACATACCAATCTTCTTCTTCCGGGGGTGACATCGCTCTGCTGAGACTCTCCAACCCCATCACCTTCACTAACTTTATCCAACCCATCTGCCTGCCCTCAGCCTCCATCACCTTCTACTCCAACATGGAATGCTGGGTAACCGGATGGGGCAATATCGCCTCTGGAGGTGAGTCTGAGAGCCCAGCTAATGGTTGCAAATATAGATGTAAAGGGGAAGGTGTGTTAGATGTTGGCCAATCCTCCTCTCTTTCACTCTGGTAGCTAATTTGCCTCTTCCTTTTTTGTGGTTTTGTATAGCCATTTAAGATGTATGTATAGCCAAAACCTTTTTTTTTTTTTGTATTGAATCAGGTAATGGAGGATTGGAATCTCTGTTAAATTATGGGAATCTTGGCCAAAGTGTATGGTGGAGCTTTCAGCTTCTGGTTGTGAGCTCTCTGGTTCAAATCTGGAACACCCCTGAAGAGCATTAGCATTGAATGTGCCTGAAAGGTAGAGACATGACCCTTGATTTTTGTCTGACAGCCTGCTAATGTCTGAACAAGAAAGATTGTCTTCAAAGATAATGATTAGAGATGAGCGAATTATTCAAAAATTTGATTCGGCTGATTCGCCGAATTTGCGGAAGAAATTCGATTCGATGCAAATTTATTCGCCGCAAATTTAACTTATTTAAAGGGTTTCTAGGCTTCAGAGAGCCTTTATATTAGTGCAGAACACTGTACCTAATTAATTTAAATGCCCTTGGAGTCTGCTGGGGAAGAGAAATAATACTGTCAGTCAGTATGACATGCAGATGAGTGCCGTCGATCTTAGAATCACCGCACACTTCACTCATTTGGGCAGTCACGGGGCACGAAGAAGAAGAAGAAGAAGAATGAAAAGAAGAATGAAAAGAAGAATGAAAAGAAGAATGAAAAGAAGAAGAAGAAGAATGAAAAGAAGAAGAATGAAAAGAAGAATGAAAAGAAGAAGAAGAAGAATGAAAAGAAGAAAAAGAAGAAAAGAAAAGAAGAATGAAAAGAATGAAAAGAAGAAGAATGAAAAGAAGAAGAAAAGAAGAAGAATGAAAAGAAGAAGAAGAAGAATGAAAAGAAGAAAGAATGAAAAGAAGAAGAAGAATGAAAAGAAGAAGAAGAAGAATGAGAAGAAGAAGAATGAAAAGAAGAAGAAGAAGAATGAAAAGAAGAAGAAGAAGAATGAAAAGAATGAAAAGAAGAAAAGAATGAAAAGAAGAATGAAAAAGAAGAAGAATGAAAAGAAGAAGAAGAATGAAAAGAAGAAGAAGAAGAATGAAGAAGAAGAAGAATGAAAAGAAGAAGAAGAAGAAGAAGAAAAGAAGAATGAAGAGAAGAAGAAGAAGAATGAAAAGAAGAAGAATGAAAAGAAGAATGAAAAGAAGAAGAAGAAGAAGAAGAATGAAAAGAAGAATGAAAAGAAGAATGAAAAGAAGAATGAAAAGAAGAAGAAGAAGAATGAAAAGAAGAATGAAGAGAAGAAGATGAAGAAGAAGAATGAAAAGAAGAAGAATGAAAAGAAGAATGAAAAGAATAAGAATGAAAAGAAGAATGAAAAGAAGAATGAAAGAAGAAATGAGAAGAAGAATGAGAAAAGAAGAAGAAGAAGAATGAGAAGAAGAAGAATGAAAAGAAGAAGAATGAAAAGAAGAATGAAAAGAAGAAGAAGAAGAAGAAGAATGAAAAGAAGAATGAAAAGAAGAAGAAGAAGAATGAAAAGAAGAAGAAGAATGAAAAGAATAAGAATTAAAGAAGAAAAAGAATATCTGCAGAGAGAAAAGAATTTCTGACAGTTCTCTGACAGAACAATTACAGCGGAATGAAAGAATGAAAAGAAGAAGAATTTAGAATACAGAATGAGAAGAAGAAGAAGAATGAAAAGAAGAAGAACCGCTGAAAACCGAAGAATAAGAAGTCAGAAATAGAAGAAGAATTAAAGTACAGCAAAAAGTGTATCTGGAGATACTTCTTTTCCGCTATTTTTCTGACAGTTCTCTGACATTCCTTCACATTTACATTCGGTTTTTCATTGTATCTATTTATTTCCGAATAAAAACATTTCTTCTGTATCCTAAATGGAAACAAATAGATATAATGTTTCAACCGCTGTAAATGAACTGTCAGAACTGTCAGAAATAGCGGAGCTCTCTGCAGGACACTTTTGCCGGCTGATCGGGAAAAATTTGATTCGTGCACCCAAAGTTTGCTAAAATTCGGATTCGATGCGAATCAAATTTTTCCTGATATTCGAAACAAATTCCACTTCGCCAGGTCCGATTCGCTCATCTCTAATAATGATAGAAGAAAAGGTTTAATAGAAAATTGGGCAAAAAGTTGGGTATGGCTCAGTGGTAGATTATTTGACTGTAAGTTGAGAGGTTTATAGTTCAGTTTAGGGTGCCCTCTGTAAAACATTGGCCATGCATGGTTCAAAAATGATTAATTGCAACCTTTAATTTTTCAAACAGTGGCCAGCAGACATCTTTAAAGGAAGAGTTTTTTCAAAGAGAAAGATAGAAAAGGTGGAAAAAAATGGAATATAACTCAGAGACATCTCTCAACTACATGTCGAGAAGTCCCCAAATCAATCTAGGTGACCCCTGGAAGGCATTGTCCATGCATGTACTTGAAAAGAAAGAGTAAGATCTTTCATTTTCCAACAGCAGCACATCTATAAAATAAGAGTGTCATCAAAGAAAAAATAAATTAAAAGGATAATAAAAGTTGGGTCAAAAAATGTGGAGTATAGCTCAGTGGTGGATTATTTGACTATGGATCAAGAAGTATATAGTTCAGGGTCCAATAGTTCTTTGGTAAATGCATGGCCAATGTCTTTGAGGGGTGCCTTGAACTTTTGAATTATACCATTAGTTCAAAAGTTCCAGGTGCCCTTCGAAGGCATTGGTCATGCATGTACCAAAAAAGGTTCATCATGGCCTTGATGAACCTGGCACAACAAGAACAGATGGGGTATTGCTCAGAGAGAGAGAATTTTCAACTACAAATCGAGAGGTCCCCAACTCAATCCAGGTAACCCCCGGTAGGCATTGACCATGCATGTATTTGAAAGCAAAGGGCAAGATGTTTGATTTTCCAACAGCAGCCGTCTATAAAATAGGAGTGTCATCAAACAAAAAGGTTACAAAAAATGGGTCACATTTGGAGTATAGCTCAGTGATGAACTATTTGACTGTCAATTGAGAAGTCTGTAGTCCAGGGTCCAGTAGTTCAAGGTATCATTCAATAGTCCAAGGTGCCCCTTGAAGGCATTGACCACACATGTACCAAAAAGGATTTATGGATTGATGAACCCAACACTACGAAAATAGACCCAGCTGTATATCACATGGCGCATGCACCTTGCAGTGTATGCAGAAAATTAAAAAAAAAAGTCATTAGGATCCTTAGGAATGGTTTTTCTTTTTTTCAAAAGTCTACCTTCTTGTGATTTTTGTTTAGTTGACTTTTGAGTTACTGGCGTGTCAGAAGACAAGAAGGTGTCATCACAAACAAGGAAAGCAAAAAGTGTAAAAAAAAAATGGGTAAAAACATGGGGGTATAGCTCAGTGGCAGAGCAGTGGACTACAAATTGAGAGGTTCTGGTCCAAATCCATGTGCTCCCTGTAAGGCATTGATCTTGCATGAGACTGAAAAGATTAAAACAACTTTCTGGTGAAATTGCCAGAAGCCTCAGGGCTTGGTTCCCACCTACAGGTATAAGCAACACCGTACACGGTTCTGTGTTTTTCTGCGTGTTTTCAGTGCATTCCCATGCGTCACATGTAGGGCAGCCTATTCATTTCAATGAGCTGCCCAACATGCGATAAATGCAGAAAAGAAGTCACAGCCGCACATCTTCTAAAGGGCAGTGCGTTTCTCTGCATGTCAGGAAAGCATACAATTTTGCACATATTCCCAACACACACAGATGTGAACTAAGTCTCATGTAAAACTTAATAAATAAAAATGTGTAAACAGGCTGAATTCATAATGCAGAAGAGACATAATGGGGTTGTTTTACTAAAGGCAAATAGGCTGCTCAACTTGCAAGTGCTGTTGCACTTTGCAGGGGACATTTTCCCCAGAGCTTAGTGAATGTGGTAAAATTTCAATTCGCAAAGAATATCCAATTATATGCAAGGATAATAAAAGAAACCGCTTTTTTGATGCATGTGACAGTATGATGGAAGTTAGCAGAGCTTTACCTCATTCACTGAGCCTTGCAAAGTGAACAGTTTAATTACCTTTTAGTAAATCAACCCCACTATGTCTCTTCTGCATTGAAGTATTCTTGCCTGTCTGTTCACTTTGAGCTGAGCATGTGCAATTAACTTCTGCACCAGCGTGGGAGTGACATTGTCCTGGCTCAGCCAATCTAAATGGCCGAAAACCCAGAAGAAGACAAGTCAACGATGCTAGCGACTGGGGAGGGTATTCGTGTGTACACCCGTGGGGAGAATAAATTCATTTAATCCCTAAAGGGAGAATGGGAGCAGTTAAAGGGATTGCACTGACAATCTTCCTGTGATGTACTCATAATAATTTCCCTTTTTTATTTTCTGAAACACGCTTCATTTCTTACATTTTATCAAATTGCATTTCCTTATAGAGTGGAATATATATAACAAAAACTCTTTTATGCAGGTCAGGTCAGTGTCATATATGTCATGGAATTTGCAGGGACATTCCTGCATCTTGGCCCTTTGCCTCATCAATGTTGTGTCCCTGGCCATGCTTTGGGATTGAACTTTACTTGAGTTGTTGCACATACACAGTAACCCAAAAGGCAATAATGGTGGAGATCAAGGCCATGACTGAGAAGTCCTTGCACAGGTTTGCCAACCATCTGTATTTTCATGGACAGTCCAAAAGAATATTGCAGCTGGATGCCTAAGGTCGTCAATTGAAGATGTCTGTCACCCTCTATGCCCAGTACCACTTGCCCTTGCATGAAAAGGATGGAGGCTAAGTCCCTGATTTGAAGCAAAGGATGGCTTTTTTTAATGATTAAAGGTGGAGCATTATTAAAAAAATATATACTGTTAAAATGCAGCAGATTACTAAGAGGTCCACCTTAAGATTCTATGGAGAACTGCTGGCATATAATTCATTAAAACTGTAGTCTCTTATTGAAATAATTTAACCCCATTGGCTCCCAGATACATGGATATGGATTTGGTTTTGGGTGATCATGGCCTCTAAATGATGGAATTGTGTTTCTAGAGCTGCTCAGTGTCATGCTGGGTTAATTCTGAGAACTAGCAATGGCAATAATGTCTTTCTGATCTGTTCTGCAGTTGACCTACCAGCCCCAAAGACCCTCCAGCAAGTGATGACCCCGCTGATTAGCAGAAACATCTGTGACCAGTGGTACCGTGAATATACAGGATTCAGCTCCAGCAAGTCTATAATTGCATCTGATCAGATCTGTGCTGGGTATATCAATGGTCAGAAAGACTCATGCCAGGTGGGTGACAAATCCAAGTGGACATAAGCCCTATGTGAATGATCTCTACACTGTGTATCATACACTATTGTTTTTTATAATTATTATTAGTTCCAGGTTTTAAACTACTTCATGTTACACCCATAATCAGGGTGTAACATCAAGCATGGTCACACACATAATCCCCCAAACCTGCTTTTACCCAAGTGCTTCTTCTGGCAGACATTTTATGGATGCTTTATAGCTGTATAGTGTAGCACTACCCCCGGAGGGGCCGCTGTAGATTAGCAGGTCTTTCCCAAAGCAGTGCAGAGGCAGCCGGACATGCAACAACAGTCCACTTACTCTGGCACATTGATCAATCTAGGGATTGTCTTTTTTTAAAGTGTCTTACCTAGCAGAAACTTGTGAGGGAATTTAGGGTGATGTGGGATACTCCAAAACATCAGTCATTGTTAACAGAGGACACTTCTCAAGAATAGAAGTACAAGTACAGGTATGATTAAGCACGATCATGTGAAACGGGTTAACAAGTCCTCTATACATGTCTTGGTGTTTTATGTGTCTAATGGATCAATACATTTTCACTATACCCATTGGTCCTCCGGTGTGAAGCTAACCCTTCTTCCTACAGATAGACTGGAACAGTCTACAGGTTCACAGCTGAGGACCATGAAGTAGATTTAGCACAGGTAAAGGCATACTGGAATGGTCTATAGGTTCCCAGCTTTGGACCATGAAGTAGCATTGGCATGGGTATAGAACAGTCTATAGGTTCATGGGTGGGGAACATAAAGTAGCTTTATCACAGGTAAAGGCTTACTGGAACACTCCACAGGTTCACGGTTTTGGACCATGAAGTATCGTTGGCACAGCTTTAGCTAGACTGGAACAGTCTATAAGTTCATGGCTGGGGACCATGAAGTAGCTTTAGCACATATAGCACTAACCTCAAAAAGTCTGCTGGATTTGGTTTGGGTCTCCTTATGCACTACATGGCCAGGCAACATAAATTTTCCACACTTTGCTCACTGTAGACAGTAAACAGTTCTTGAGCTTGGTTTTGTTATTTTCTTGAGAGGTTAAACTTGGATAGACACTAGCGGTATATGGGATTCTCGAGGAACTGTAAAACTTGAGTACAACTCCTTAGCAACAGTCTTTCCTTGAAGAGCACTAAAGGCTTTCTAGTGTACCTCCTCAGACCCTGGATGATTCCTCCTCTTCATCCAGCTGCCTGAGGGTATCCCTGGGCAAGGGGGCCCAGAAGCTTTAATTGAACAGTCCCAGATGAGAAGCTAGTTGGGTCTTGTACCTGACCGCCCTCTCCCCTTATCTGGCCCAAGGGGTGTAAGAGTGCTCACACTGTCCTTTCCTGTCAGCTTGGTGGGTTGGTGGCTGCCTTCAGGCCTTATCGCTGGGCTGGCTCCTTCCCTGCTGCTCAGGATGTTTTCCCTAGGAGATGGTGGTGCAGCCTTCCTTACTCCATCTTCCACCCAACCCTGCACACCTCTCCCTAGGCTCTGCCACATTTAAGGCTTGTCCTGGCCACCATGCCAAGCTTTCTGCCAGGAGATTGGCCAAGATCCCTAAAACATGCATCCCCCCCCCCCCCCTTTCCACCTCTCTTCCAGAAAGTTCAGCCAGTTTCTGGAAGGGTGGGAGGGCTCCAGAAACTCTGACCTGCTAGAACCTCCCAGCCTGTTCTGAGGTAACCTCACTACCTCACTCCCAGGCTGACTCATCCCAAGGCTGCCATTCAACCTCTATCTAACAAAAACTAACAAACCTGGAGGTTGTTACACACAGGTAGAGGTAGACTGGAACAGTCCACAGGCTCACAGCTAGGGACTATAAAGTAGCTTTGATTTGCAGCACAGGAAGAAGGCTCTACTCACAGAATCTTGGAATAAGATCAGTCCATAGGTGAAACCTCTTGTATTCCAGAGTCCAGCCCAAAAGGCTTTAGAAGCAAGCCCCACCTCAGCTCACAGATCTGTCCCCTCAGAGAGAAAAAGACAGTCTCCTCAGGACTCCAGACTATTTATCAGCTTCCCAGCCACCATCTGAGAACCCCTCCCCAGGGATTAGTTGGGCCCTGCTCAGTATTCAAGCTGGTCATTTGAATTCTCCCTCCCTAAGCTCCAGAAGCTTCTTCTAGAGGCAGGGAGAAGCAATCAAACTCCCAGCCTGTGAAGCCTTGAACAGACCAGACCAGAAAGAGTCAAAAACTTAGTTTACCAGCAGTCTAACTAGGAGGTTCCTACAATAGAATGTATGGCCTTATATTGCTACATTGTTTACATGAAATAATTACAGAATGGTTTACATTTTATCATTTTTTTGTATTATTAATAGAGATGAGCGAATTGAACCAGGCGAAGTGGAATTCGTTTCGAATTTCAGGAAAAATTTGATTTGCGTAGAATCCGAATATTTGCATAATTCGGGTGAGCGAATCGGATTTTTCCCGATCAGCCGGCAAAAGTGTCCCTGCAGAGAGCTCCGCTATTTCTGACAGTTCTCTGACAGTTCCTTCACATGTACAGCGGTTGAAACATTGTATCTATTTGTTTCCATTTAGGATACAGATGTTTTTATTCGGAAATAAATAGATACAATGTTTCAACCGCTGTCAACCGCTGGAACTGTCAGAGAACTGTCAGAAATAGCGGAGCTCTCTGCAGATACACTTTTTGCTGTACTGGAATACTTCTTCTTTTCATTCTTCTTTTCATTCTTCTCATTCTTCTTTTCATTCTTCTTCTCATTCTTCTTTTTCATTCTTCTTTTCATTCTTCTCATTCTTCTTTTCTTCTTCATGAAAAGAAGAATGAAAAAGAATGAGAAGAAGAATGAAAAGAAGAATGAAAAGAAGAATGAAAGAAGAATGAAAAGAAGAATGAGAAGAATGAAAAGAAGAAGAAGAAGAAAGAAAAGAAAAGAAGAATGAAAAGAAGAATGAAAAGAAAGAATGAAGAAGAAGAAGAATTTTCATTCTTCTCATTCTTCTTTTCATTCTTCTTTTCAAAAGAAAAAGAAGAATTCATTCTTCTTCTTCTTTTCATTCTTCTTCATTCTTCTTTTTCATTCTTCTTCTTCTTCTTTTCATTTCTTCTTCTTCTTTTCATTCTTCTTCTTCTTCTTTTCATTCTTCTTTTTTCTTTTCTTTCTTTCTTCTTCTTTTCATTCTTCTTTTCTTCTTCTTCTTCTTTCATTCTTCTTTCTTCTTTTCATTCTTCTTCTTCTTCTTCTTTTCATTCTTCTTCTTCTTTTCATTCTTCTTTTCATTCTTCTTCTTCTTTTCATTTTCTTTTCATTCTTCTTCTTCTTTTCATTCTTCTTTTCATTCTTCTTTTCATTCTTCTTTTCATTCTTCTTTTCATCTTTTCATTCTTCTTTTCATTCTTCTTCTCATTCTTCTTTTCATTCTTCTTTTCATTCTTCTTTTCATTCTTCTTTTCTTCTTCATGAGAAAGAATGAAGAATGAAAAGAAGAAGAAAATGAAGAAGAAAAGAAGAATGAAAGAATGAAAAGAATGAAAAAGAAGAATCTTTTCATTCTTCTCAAAAAGAAGATTCTTCTTTTCTTCTTCTTCTTCTCTCTTTTCATTCTTCTTTTCATTCTTCTTCTTCTTCTTTTCATTCTTCTTCATTCTTCTTCTTCATTTCTTCTTCTTCTTTTTCATTCTTCTTTCATTCTTCTTTTCATCTTCTTTTCATTCTTCTTTTCAAAAGATATGATTCTTCTTTTCAATCTTCTTCTTTTCATTCTTCTTTTCATTCTTCTTTTCATTCTTCTTTTCATTCATTCTTCATTCTTTTCATTCTTCTTTCATTCTTCTTTTCATTCTTCTTCATTCTTCTTTTCTTCTTTTCATTCTTCTTTTCATTCTTCTTCTTCTTCTTCTTCATTCTTCTTTTCAAGAAGAAAAGAAAAGAAGAATGAGAAGAAGAAAAAGAAGAATGAAAAATGAAGAAGAAGAAGAAGAATGAAAAGAAGAAGAATGAAAAGAAATGAGAAGAATGAAAAGACGAAGAATGAAATGAATGAAGAAGAATGAAAAGAAGAAGAAGAAGAAGAATGAGAAGAAGAATGAAGAAGAATGAAAGAAGAAGAAAGAAGAATGAAGAAGAATGAAAAGAAGAATGAAAAGAAGAAGAAGAAGAATCTTTTCATTCTTCTCATTCTTCTTTTCATTCTTCTTCTTCTTCTTCTTCTTTTCATTCTTCTTCTTCTTTTCATTCTTCTTTTCATTCCTACTTCTTCTTCTTCTTCTTCATCCTCATCCTCATCCTCTTCTTCTTCTTCTTCTGAGGATGAAGAAGAAGAAAGAAGAAGAAGAAGTAGGATGAAAATAAGAAGAATTCCAAGCCGGCAAAAAGTGTATCTGCAGAGCTCCTCTATTCTGCAGATACACTTAGAGGAGCTCTGCAGATACACTTTTTGCCGGCTTGGAATTCTTCTTCTTTTCATTTTCATCCTACTTCTTCTTTCTTCTTCTTCTTCATCCTCATCCTCATCCTCAAGAAGAGAAGAGGAGAGGATGAGGAAGAAGAAGAAGAAGAAGAAGAAGAAGTAGGATGAAAATAAGAAGAATTCCAAGCCGGCAAAAAGTGTATCTGCAGAGCTCCTCTAAGTGTATCTGCAGAATAGAGGAGCTCTGCAGATACACTTTTTGCCGGCTTGGAATTCTTCTTATTTTCATCCTACTTCTTCTTCTTCTTCTTCATCCTCATCCTCATCCTCATCCTCAGAAGAAGAAGAAGATGAGGATGAGGATGAAGAAGAAGAAGAAGAAGAAGAAGTAGGATGAAAATAAGAATTCCAAGCCGGCAAAAAGTGTATCTGCCAGCGGTTTGAAACATTGTATCTATTTGTTTTCATGAAACTATTTTCTGACAGTTCTCTGAATGAAGAAGAATAGAAATATCCATATCAGCATTGAGGAGGCAGTGAATGTCAGAGAACTGTCAGAAATAGCCTATTTCTGACAGTTCTCTGATCATCTCAGTGACATTCACTCCATACAGCGGTTGAAACATTGTATCTATTTGTTTCCATTTATGGAAACAAATAGATACAATGTTTCAACCGCTGTATGGAGTGAATGTCAGAGAACTGTCAGAAATAGCGGAGCTCTGCAGATACACTTAGCGGAGCTCTGCAGATACACTTTTTGCCGGCTTGGAATTCTTCTTATTTTCATCCTACTTCTTCTTCTTCTTCTTCTTCTTCATCCTCATCCTCATCTTCTTCTTCTGAGGATGAGGATGAAGAAAGAAGAAGAAGAAGAAGAGGATGAAAAAATAAGAAGAATTCCAAGCCGGCAAAAAGAGTATCTGCAGAGCTCCGCTAAAAAGTGATCTGCAGAGCTCCGCTAAGTGTATCTGCAGAGCTCCGCTAAGAAATAGCGGAGCTCTGCAGATACACTTTTTGCCGGCTTGGAATTCTCCTTCTTCTCATCCTTCTTCTTCTTCTCATCCTTCTTCTTCTTCTCATCCTTCTCCTTCTTCTCATCCTTCTTCTTCTTCTCATCCTTCTTCTTCTTCTTCTCATCTTTCTTCTTCTTCTCATCCTTCTTCTTCTTCTCATCCTTCTCCTTCTTCTCATCTTCTCCTTCTTCTCTTCTCATCTTCTTCTTCTTCTCATCCTTCTTCTTCTACTCATCCTTCTTCTTCTTCTCATCCTTCTCCTTCTTCTCATCCTTCTTCTTCTTCTCATCCTTCTTCTTCTTCTCATCCTTCTCCTTCTTCTCATCCTTCTCCTTCTTCTCATCCTTCTCCTTCTTCTCATCCTTCTCCTTCTTCTCATCCTTCTTCTCATCCTTCTTCTCATCCTTCTCCTTCTTCTCATCCTTCTCCTTCTTCTCATCCTTCTCCTTCTTCTCATCCTTCTCCTTCTTCTCATCCTTCTCCTTCTCCTTCTTCTCATCCTTCTCCTTCTCCTTCTTCTCATCCTTCTCTTCTCCTTCTTCTCATCCTTCTCCTTCTCCTTCTTCTCATCCTTCTTCTCCTTCTCCTTCTTCTCTTCTTCTCATCCTCTCTTCTCATCCTTCTCCTTCTTCCTCATCCTTCTTCTCATCCTTCTCCTTCATCCTTCTTCTCATCCTTCTCCTTCTTCTCATCCTTCTTCTCATCCTTCTCCTTCTTCTCTCCTTCTCCTTCCTCTCTCCAAGGGCATTTAAATTAAAGGTACAGTGTTCTGCACTAATATAAAAGGCTCTCTGAAGCCTAGAAACCCTTTTTATAAGTTAAATTCGTAGCGAATAAATTCGCATTGAATCAAATTTCTTCCTCAAATTCGGCGAATCAGCCGAATCGAATTTTTGAATAATTCGCTCATCTCTAATTATCAACCCTGAAGAAGGGGGGTGTCTTTTCCCCTCTGAAACGCAGTGGCTGTATTTGTTTCTCTTAACCATTAAATGTATCAAAAATTTCTCTGCGTGAAATTACCTTTTCTACTATTCTCTGCTTTGTACATATCGGAGAGTTTTCCATCTGGCAAACGCTTCATTAGTCGCTGTCAGCAAGATAGCAATCTAGGATTAGAACTAGGTCAACCCATACTTTTTTCCTCTGCTTACGGTATATCCACCAGAACCAATATTTACTTCTATCAGTCCAGTGCTATCATATACACATCAGTAACTTTCATACCTGACAGTCAATATTACATGAATTATTGTATATTAATCTGTATCCTGCAGGGTGACTCTGGAGGACCTCTGGTGTGTAAAATTTCTGGGACCTGGTACCAGGCGGGAATTGTCAGCTGGGGCAGCGGATGTGCGCAGTCATACCGACCAGGTGTCTACACATATGTGCCTCTCTATAGGGCTTGGATTGTGGAGAATGGAGTGCCAGCTCTTCTACCCAGCATCTACTTATTTATTCTCACTGTGATAATACTGCTAAGCTAATTCCACAATGTGACAACTGTTTCCTGGAGGCAATTAATGAAAGTGATATTAAGGCAAAACTTTTTTTCACTTTTGCATAAACTATGGCTGGGTTATAACCCCTGTCAAATTTTTTTGCCATCTGTTTCCTATTGGGGATATTTCCCTTCACTTCCTGTCCTATATCCAAAACAGGAAGTGAGATGAAATCCCTACAAAGTGAAAGGATGCCTGGTTGTCACCAGAACTAGTGTCTTCATTGGAAGGTTTCCCGTCTTTAGCTTTTTGGTGACAACCCAAAAATTTCTTTAACTTTTTCTTTCAGTGCTAATGACCATAAGAACAAATAAAGAAGGTGGATTTCCCTAACAGAGGCACAGACAGCAGTAAAACCTGACAGGGGATCTAATCCCTTTCTACTCTATACAAATGTATAAAAAATAGGTTTTGCCTTTAGTTATACTTTAATGAAGAATTGCAGGTAGGGCATTTTAAACATAGTCCAGCTTGGTCCAATCATACTATGCATATACCATACCTGTGGGATCTAGAACAGGGGTCTCCAAGCTTTCTAAGCAAAGGACTGACTCACTGTCCTTCAGACTTTAGGGGGGGCAACATGAATAGGAAATGCCTGGCATCAATGGAAGTAGCCACTGCCCCATTATCAGTATTAATGGGAGGAATAGTGCCCCATCATTGGAGTCAGAGGGAGGAGAAGTACCCTGTCATTGGTGTCAGATGGAGGAATAGTGACCCATCATTGGTATTAGTTGGAGGAATAGTTCCCCATAATTGTTTTCAGTAGGAGGAATAGTACCCCATCATTGGTATCAGTGGGAGGAATAGTGCCCCATCATTGGTATCAGTGGGAGGAATAGTGCCCCATCATTGGTGTCAGTGGGAGGAATAGTAGTGCCCCATCATTGGTATCCGTGGGAGAAATAGTGCCCCATCATTGGTATCAGTGGGAGGCCAATCATTGGTATCAGTGGGAGGAATAGTGTCCCATCTTTAGTATCAGTGGGAGGAGTGTCCCATCATTAGTATCAGTGGGAGGAATAGTGCCCCATCATTGGTATCAGTGGGGAGGAATAGTGCCCCATCATTGGTGTCAGTGGGAGGAATAGTGCCCCATCATTGGTGTCAGTGGGAGGAATAGTGCCCCATCATTGGTGTCAGTGGGAGGAATAGTGCCCCATCATTGGTGTCAGTGGGGGGAATAGTGCCCCATCATTGGTGTCAGTGGGAGGAATAGTGCCCCATCATTGGTGTCAGTGGGAGGAATAGTGCCCCATCATTGGTGTCAGTGGGAGGAATAGTGCCGCATCATTGGTATCAGTGGGAGGAATAGTGCCCCATCATTGGTATCTGTGTCGGAACTAATGTCCCATCATCGGTATCAGTGGGAAGAATAGTGCCCCATCATTGGTGTCATTGGGAACTATGGTGCCCCATTGTTGTTATCAGTGGCAGGAATCATGCACTACTGTTGGTGTCGGTAGGAGGATTAGTGCAATAGGTAACCAAAGGGTTGCATCTGCCTTGCAGCATTCTGAACACAGGAGGTTGGCCACTCAGCAAGGGTTTCATTCAGAGGCCATTTTGCATTTTTCCAACAAATGCAAAGCAATTGGATGAGCTGGAGAAGAGGTACATTGAAATCATGCTCTCCGCCTTGTCCAAGCAGAGAAATCTGCATTCATTAAGAAAACACAAAAGATTCTTTAAATGATAACCATGCCAAGTGGCCAACCTCCTGTGTTCAGAATGCAACAGGGCAGCCACTGAGCACGGGACCCTGAAGCAATTGGAGATCAGTGTAGTAGCAGTGTCTAAACAGTGATTTTCATTTTCTAGCTGGATCCCACAGGTATGTTATATACAGAGTTACATTGGTCCAAGCTGGACTATGCATAAAATATCCGTATCTGGAATTCTTTAAACTCACTGTTAGAAAAATAAAACAATATTAATATTTCAAGGAGTCCTCCAGCATTTTTTTTCTTAATAAAATATTATTTTTTTATGAACTTGCTAAATAAAACATTTTATTGTAAAATAAAGTTGTTGGGTCAAGTAAAACATTACCATCCTTTACCCGGAGAATTGAAAGAAGACACAGAAACTGGAAAAAGGTTTTTTTTTCTTTTTAAATATGTTTTCAATATTTTTTTTCATTAATACAAAGTAAGTGAGTACATTTATATAATATATACATTCTATGATACACAAAAAATCCTAATATCCAAAGAGAGAGATGGAGAGTGTACAGTGGTATAATGGCCTTGATAATCCACATACCTGAAGTATAACTCATCCCAAGGCCAAGAATATAATATATTGCAACTTACCAGTATTGAGATGTGTTGGCTGCATAAGTGTTTTTTTTTTTTTTTTTTAAGCAAATACAGAAAATACCTGTAGATCCTGCCAGTGTCTTTGTGACTTCATGTGAGCTAAACTAAATGTAATACAATGTTATCTTCCTTCTGTAAACTACTAGTCCCATAGAAGGATGTGAGCCCTGATGGTAATAGCATCAACCTCTTTACAGGGAGGATGTGAGCCCTGTTAGTGGCAGCATGGAACTCATTGCAGGAGGAATGTAAGCCCTGTTAGTGGCAGTACTGAACTCATTGCAGGAGGGATGTGAGCCCTGTTAGTGGCATCACTAAACTCATTGCAGGAGGGATGTGAGCCCTGTTAGTGGCAGCACTGAGCTCATTGCAGGGGGATGTGAGCCCTGTTAGTGGCAGCACTGAATTCATTGCAGAGGGGATGTGAACCCTGTTAGTGGAAGCACTGAACTCATTGCAGGGGGATGTGAGTCCTGTTAGTGGAAGCACTGAACTCATTGCAGGAGGGATGTGAGACCTGTTAGTGGCAGCACTGAACTCATTGCAGTTGGGATGTGAGAACTGTTAGTGGCAGCACTGAACGCATTGCAGGAGGGATGTGAGCCCTGTTAGTGGCAGCACTGAACTCATTGCAGGGGGATGTGAGCCCTGTTAGTGGCAGCACTGAACTCATTGCAGGGGGATGTGAGAACTGTTAGTGGCAGCACTGAACTCATTGCAGGAGGGATGTGAGCCCTGTTAGTGGCAGCACTGAACTCATTGCATGAGGGATGTGAGCCCTGTTAGTGGCAGCACTGAACTCATTGCAGGGGGATGTGAGCCCTGTTAGTGGCAGCACTGAACTCATTGCAGGAGAGATGGGAGCCCTTTTATTGGCAGCACTAAACTCATTTCAGGAGGGATGTGAGCCCTGTTAGTGGCAGCACTGAACTCATTGCAGGGGGGATGTGAGCCCTGTAATGGCAGCACTGAACTCATTGCAGAAGGCATGTGAGCCCTGTTAGTGGCAGCATGGAACTCATTGCAGGGGGGATGTGAGCCCTGTTATTGGGAGCATTAAACTCCTTGCAGGGGGGATGTGAGGCCTGTTAGTGGCAGCACTGAACTCATTGCAGGAGGGATGTGAGCCCTGTTAGTGGCAGCACTGAACTCATTGCAGGAGGGATGTGAGCCCTGTTAGTGGCAGCACTGAGCTCATTGCAGGAGGGATGTGAGCCCTGTTAGTGGCAACACTGAATTCATTGCAGGAGGGATGTGAGCCCTGTTAGTGGCAGCACTGAATTCATTGCAGGAGGGATGTGAGCCCTGTAATGAGTTAATGAAAGGACTTAACTCATTAAAGGCAGGATGTAAGTCCTTTTAGTGGAAGCACTGAACTCATTGCAGGAAAGGTGTGTGAGCTTTGTTAGTAGGAGCATTGAAATCACTGAAGGAGAGATGTGATCTCTGTTAGTGGTAGACCTTAACCCACTGGAGGAAGGATGTGAACCTGTTAGTGAGAGCACTGAACTCTCAGAACACTGAATTGCAGGAGGGATGGAGACATGACAGTAAGAAGGTAAGCCATACTGGAGAAAGGATAGAACTCATTTGGAAGAAGATGTGAACTTTGGCAGGAAACATGGTGAGCATGAAAGGAAAGAAATGAGTGCTACTGGTGGAGGCAGGTGACTCACTGAAGAACCCCTTTGAAGACGGTAGAAAGTGAAGGTTAAACTCTATTTGTGGGACAAAACACACATTGAAGAAAAGGGAGCAGTCAGGTTGTGGACCCAACAAGTGGATTGAAATAAAAACTCTTGCACTACAGTGTATATCTAAGGAAGATGACATGAAACATCAATTGAAGATGGCAGTCCCTCAGATGGAAATGCTGAGTTAGGTTTCAAAATACTACCAGACACAAGAGGATAAACAAAAGATTTCCTATAGACTAGACATAAGTTTTGGGGGCCCTGTCCATCGGTCAGTTGATTGAAGTTATCTTCAAGTCTCAACTACTCCAAAGGTGCCTTCTTTTGTTGACGATTTTATTTAGACGTAATTGGGTCCCTCCTTCACTGAACCTAATGGTTGGGATGTATTGCTGGATCCAGGACTTGTAATACTGAACCCTCGTGTAGACTCCCGGATGATTGGGCTCTGCACAGCCAAAACCCCAACTGATAATACCAAACTGCATCTTTACCCCATTTACACCGCACACCAGTGGGCCACCCGAGTCTCCCTAGAAAAATGGAATGAAAGGAGCAATGTTATACATACTTGGAAACGTTATTGATTGACCCTCCTACAAATCATTTTCCACATAAGACATGCTTTCTAATTTGTCTTGGATGAGTTTTGGCCTTACACAGCCTCCTGATCACGTTATGTGCAAACTATATTTATAGATCCCTTTCATAATGCGAATCTGTGATAAGGTTAGCCAACTAACATTTTCAAAAGAAGGTCAGCATGGCCCATATATGCCTACTTTTTGAGGCTCTGACCCAAATTTCTATAGATACTTGTTACCAACAGAGCTGCAATCACAAATTTGCACTGGTTGGCACATACCTGGCATGCGTCTTTATTGCCCTGTTTTAATCCGGCACACATCATGTCATCCTCGATCAGTTTCATTCCAGAGGGCATGCCAATGCTGTACATGGTTTCACAGTGTTGGTTGTCAATCAGAGGCAGCTGAACCTCTTGTAGGGTCTTTGGAATGGGGAGGGGATCTACAGAGGATTTGGAGAATACTTTTTTAATTTATTCAATGATGATATAATGATATTGATGTTCTATTCATGCTAAAGGTTTCATTTTTAACCTAGTTGACCCTCACCATTTTCAGTAATGCTGCCCCAGCCGGTTGCCCAACAGGGGGTCCCCTCTGGCAGATTGATATTTGGAGATGGAAGGTACACAGGGAGGATAAAAATGGTATAGTTGACAGGTTGATTCAGTTCCATCAGTGCAATGTCTGAGCCGGATCCCAGGGAAGAGTATTTGGGGTGCATAAGGATTTGCTTTATTCCTCTGGACACTACGTTGGGGTCCTGAAGGTCTGTGAGCTGGTACACTCCAAGGTAGATGGTGAAATCTGAGGGGTTCACAGGCCTGGGGGACAAGCAAAAGTCAGAAATTGTTATGGCAGTCCTAACACAAATTTGTCACAGTGTTATGGGGTGAAGAGATAAAACTTTTTTGGATTAAGGTGTCCGTTTATGGACCAGCGGTAATAGATCGCTGCTCAGTTCTCCGGCATTCTCGGAGAACACAGTTCTCCTGTGAATGCAGTTTATGAAGCAGTTCTCCAAACGAAAGGAGAACGGTCTCCAAACGCTGGAGAACGGTCTACAAACTCTGGAAAACGGCTCATTTTACTATAATCTCTCGAGATTATAGTAAAAGATCAGTTTACTAAACAGAGGTAAATTATCTCTGCTTAGTTTTCGGTCCCTCTGATTCTCCAGCTCTGGGCTGGAGAATCTGGAGGGAGAACACAGATCTCCAGAGAAGGGCTGACATGATCTCCTGAGTGTCATAAACTGTGAATGACCAGAGAATAGCTGAGATCTGTTGAATCGCAGCTATTCTGTGTGTCATAAACGGACACCTATGGCTCCATGCACACTGTTTGTTTGCCCCGCTCTCCTCAACGCCTTTCTCCAGGCAGGAGAAAAGCTGTATCAAAAACACGCCAAAATCCACATTTTTGCAAACATTTAGATGCATTTAATTGCATCAAGCACATAGGTGTTCATTCATTTCACTGGCCGGAATATTATTTCTAGTCATTGAAATGAATCTTAAAGCATTTATCAAACCTACCGATAATGAACATTTGGACACATTGGATATTTTTCTTGCAGCAAAACTCTCCTTTCCTCCGCCTCTAGGTGCCTGTAAATGCTTATGTGTGCTTGGACACATACACTAATATAGGGGGCATTTAGAGGCAGAAAAAAAAGTCAAACACCCTTAAAAGTGGAGTTTTTGAAGTCCATTGTGCACAGGCCTAAGACTGAATACACATAAGTCTAATAAAAGTAATGTTCTGAAAGTCTCCAGGTGTGTTTTGTTCAATTTGACCAAAAATTGAACTGCTGCTTCCTGTTCATTATCTTGTAATAGACCGGCTAATAAATGTCATCTTCATTATGGGAAAGAGATTAATACTAACAGCTAATACTAACCCTTTTCCTTCTATATCTGAAGTCATATCTCATTTAATAAAGTTTTCCAATATTGAATGGATAGATTTGTGCAACAATCTTCTTTATGGATTGCTGGAAATCCTTCCTAAATTCTCTACCTCTTCTAAAGGCTAATACGCTACTGGACATTGCCAGAAAGCATTCCCTTTGGATCTAGTATGGTTTTTTAAGAGGGACTCCACACCAAACAATTATAAAAATTGGGAACATTGAGCCCCATGCTAGCAGACCCCCCACTACTGGGCCAGGGTTGCGGGGAAGAGATCCTTGTCTTCTCATTAACATGGGGACAAATTGTCTCCCCCTCCCCGGGCTCAGATAAGGGCCTGGTATGGATTTTGGGGGGCTTGATTTAAAGTATAACTAAAGTTGAAATCTTTTTGTTGGTTTCTAATAGAGTGGAGAGGGATTAGAACCACTGACAGGTTTTTATTACTGTGCCCCCATTTGGGAAATTTGCCCTCTCTATTTGTCCTGGTTACTGCTATCACTGAAAGAGAAAGAAAATTCCCAATTTTGGGTTGTCCCAAAAAATCATCCAATGGGGACATTACTTCTGGTGGTCCTGGGGACACCCTGGGATTCTCATGTTGGATGGATTTCCTCTCACTTCCTGTTTTGGCCAAAGGACAGGAAGCTAAAGGAAATATCCTAAAAACCAAAACTGGCAAATGGTATAATCCTCCATTAATGATGAAATGAAAAAAGGTTTGCCTTTTAGTTCCACTTTAAACGTTATATATTTTCTATATGCTTCTATTTTGTTGGCTTCCATGACTCTATTTTCTGGAGTTCTTTCTATTTTTCCTATTATTTTTATAATGATTGACAAAGTGTTTTTATTCACATTTTATGTAGACAAGTATTACACTCTTTGTATATTGTTCCATTCTTTTTGCTCCTACAGGGCTCCTTGCTTATTATGTCTGTTCTATAGCATTCTTCTAACTTTGATTCTGTATTTATTTTAAAGCTGTTTCAGCCATAAGATATTGTTATGATCCACATTCAGATTGCATTGAAGAGGCATTTGACTGGCAGTCACCTCCTGACCATCTGTTCAAACTCTGTAAATGCTGCACTGCCGCACATTGCACACGGTTGCAGTGTGTGTGGCCTGAATGGGTTGCATTTGGTGGTACGTGGTACCGCCTGTTGAATGAATCAGGGGAGTCATTTTTACCATGGCCATGAAGCAAAACACTGTAGCCAAGGCATGTGAACATCCCTAATTCTTTGCAGCTTAAGTGGGGGGCATTTAGGGGGCAGGCAGTAAAAACACAGACCAATTGTGTGTTTTACCCCCCAAATGCAAGCCCTAAAGTTATGTTTTAGTTAAAATATATATTATTTTGTATTATATTGGCATGGTTTTGAAGCAACTTTTTTTTTTTTTTTTTTTTAAGTCCGCAAACGTGCAACTATAACGTAAAAACCCGTAAGTGTCCGCAAAAAAGTGCAAGTGCAAGAACACACACACGAAAAACGTGCACTTAGGGGTGTGTTTGTCCTACCCCCGAAAGGGTTGGACCGTTCACCCGATCCCCCGGGGCACGAAGCTCCTGACAGGGACAAGGTTCCCATTTGGTCCTCCTGGCCAAAAGGCCTGGTGGACCACCGTTCCTTATGCCCAGCCGAAGCCGGACATCCAGTACTAGGCAAGGGGGTTCTCCCGAAGAGAAAACCCCCTAGGGATCAGGGGAGGAAGGAACCGTATGGCCACACATCCTCCCCTAGACTTCAGGTAAGGCCCGAGGACCCACACCCTCCATCCGTGAAAAACACACACATAAGAAAGCAAAAAGTGACAAAACGTGGGAGTGGTTTAAATAAATAGAATAAAATAAAAAAGTGGTACCGTGCCTAATAGTGCACAGACCAGGCCCTGAGGCCTGTAGCAAAAATTGCCCTGGACTTAGCCAAAAGACCTGGTCCTTAGGGCGCTGTGCAAAAAGATGTGAAAAACAGTGGCCATGTGTCATCTTCACACCGTGGGGTCCCACACCCAAGTGTTACTAGTGACACCCCTGAGAGCGTCTTCCCCAGGGGGCACTGAGTTTGCGGACTTTTTGCGTCCCCAGCCCCAGGCCAGACCAAGGTAGCACGTTCAGATCAGGAGGTACTGGGTCTTTCCGGTCTCCCCAGAGGAATTACTCCCAAGGCCCCAGAACGAATCATGGCGCTCCCTGGTTTCTGTCCCTCCGGTACTAGCTTCCGGACCCCCATCATACCAGTGAGGGGCTACTATACAACAACCATCCCCGTAAACTAGAATGGTCGGGAGCACCCCCACTGGACACTGATAAGAACAGATACTACACTTGATCTTAGCCAAAAGGCCGAGAAGCGATGGTTTTGAAGCAACTGTCCAGCTGTCCTCTGATCCTGGCTGTTCTTCTAGCTAGCTAGATTTCTAAAAAAAAGAGAAGTATCATGCTCACCTCTCTGGTAGCTCATGCCTCTTACCTCCCCTCTATAAGATTCTTTAGCATTTATCATATTTGGAAATGTCAGATGCCTGTATCCCCTGTCCCATGCTGTGGTTCACTCTTCTTACCTCTACCTCACTGCTGAGTCTTGTAGTGATGTAGGGGGTCGGGGGATGAAACCACGGCATGCGTCAGGAGTGATACAGGCATCTAGGGTTAGCCATGCAATCTTAGATTTTTCTAAACAGACAGTATGGGTGGAGAAATTTCTCCTGTTGGCTCTTGTCATTGACAGCCAGCACTAGTGGCTTTTAGAATACCTGAAAAATGTCAACAGCTGATTGGCCAACAATTTTTCATTTCTGATTTTCAGATTGAAGGGTTTTTGGGTGAAGTGGTAACAACAGGCCACCATCTTCTCAAATTTCAGCCAGTTTCTAGGCCAGCTTAATACTCATGTAATGCCCTCCAGGTTAGCTAGATAGGCTGTTTTTTTTTTTTTTTTTTCTTTTTAGACAGAAGCTGAGTAAGAATCAGGCTGTGGCTGAGGCAGGAGCTCACCTCAGGACAGGCTGGAAGGCTCTAACAGGTCAGGGCATCTGGAGCCTTCCCACCCTTCCAGCAACTTAGACAACTTTCTAGAAGAGGGTGAGGAGGCAAGGAGGTCTAGATCTGCATGTTTGAGGGACCTTGGCCAATCCCCTGGCAGAAGGCTGGGCATTGTGACCAAGGCAATCCTTAAAAGTGGCAGAGCCTGAGCAGCAGGGGAGTGTTGGGTGGAAGATGGATTGAGGAAACCTGAAGTGTGGAGCCTGGGAGGGGGGGCCTACTTACAGCCACTGCTGGAAAAGAGGACCTCCACTGCACCACAGTCTCCTAAGGAAGACATCCTGAGCAGCAGGGAAGGAGCATCCCAGCATAAGGCCTGAAGGCAGCCATACTGATCCAAGCTGACAGGGAAGCACAGTGTGAATACTACTATACTGTCTGGGCCAGATAAAGGGAGAAGGCAGCGAGATGGAAAACACAACTAGCTTCTCATATCCGGGACTGCTGCTTTAAATTGGCAGCTTCTGGGCCCGCTTACCCAGGGGTAACCTCAAGGCAGCTGGGTGAAGAGGAGGAATCATTCAGGGTCTGAGGAGGTACATTGAAGGGGCTTTAGCATCCCTTAAAGAGAGACTGTTGGTGTCCACATTTTTTTGTACATAGTCACTAAGCAGTTTGTCCTCAGTTTCCGCAGTTCCTCAGGCATCCCATATACCCCTAGACCCCATTCAAGTTCACTTTAAATAAGACGAAATTACATAAAGCTGCTTATTGTTACTTTAGCTGTATTTGTAAATTTCCACTTGAACCTCTGAACTTACTTCTCAAAGCAGTGAGCCGCGGTCAGCACCCAAGAGTCAGCAATCAGGGACCCCCCGCATATTGGAAAGCCATTCTTCTGTAAGATGACCTGCCAGGGCCACTGCCCCTTCATGGCATCTTCACCTCCGACAATGCGCAATGGCTGCCCAGAGCCTGTAAATGACAGAAAATAGGCGGGACATATTGGTTTTATAAACCTAATGCACACTGAATTCTTCCTATCGCTTAAATGATTGATGTGAGAACAAGACATATTAGACATACATGTATATATAGATATATATATGAAACTCCTGAGGCCTAAAAATGTTCTGGTTTACACAACCCAAAGACTATAACTGTACAGTATGCATACAGAATCACAAACAAGTATCCAAAAGTGGTCAGTGAACAATATGATAAAAGTTAGATGCATGTAGAACCAAAATGGAGTGGTGAGAGGTTACTTTGTCGTAACAGTCTGTTTCCCTGGTGGGGAGCTTCACCCTTTCCTTTTGACCATCTCTGGTGACCAGTGTCACAGAAAGTGATGGGAAATCCATAATGTTGCACTCTAATGAGTGCGCCACACAAAGTGTCTAGGCATCCAAAGTCTTAATATTGGTATTAAAGCCTAACTCCAATAAATACTTTGACCTTAAAGTGGACCTTCAGCCTCCCAAAGATGAGCCCACATCTCTGTCCCCTCCACCCATCCTCTGCTGTATAAGTTTTTTTTTTTCTTTTGTTTACCTTTATTTGTATAAATGAGGTCTTCCCCCACCTCCCATGCATGTTATTCACCTAAGCTGCCCACTGTGCCTCCTGGGATATGCAAATCACATATCCCAAAAGGCATAAGCTTTCATTAAGGAAAGGAGGGAGAGGGGAGGGGCCTGACTGCATCATCGGATGGTGGCAGGCTGGACCCGAACAGCCAGCAGCCTAGCGATAACATCATGTAGAAACATGGCAGTGCTGGAGGGAGCGCTGCTAGAAGAGAAGAGGTCCTCAGCTGGACAGTGCTGGATCTGTTGGGTGGGTGAGTATCAAAGGTTAGCAGAACTCACATCCAGGAAGGTAAAACTCAAAAACAAAAACGGGGGGGGGGGGGGGATGTGGAGTTTAAAGTTCCACTTTAATTAGTTTATTTGGACCAAAGCTGGCCCAAACAAACTGTTTCCCTTTTCTTTTTCTAACAGATGTGCCCTCCCACCTGGGGCCCTGTATAAACTGTATGTAGCTTAGAGTCTATAATACTGGCTAGGGTGCGGTGACTTCTTAGAACAAAGTCAAGTCAGGCTGAGTGGTGCTCAGCCATTTACAGGAAGCCTTCTATTTGTATCAGTGAATACAAGGTTTCCTCTGATTGGCTGGAGAGGTGGAGGTGAGGTGAGGTGGAGAGGTGGAGAGGTAGTGGACGATGTAACTTTCTACCTCAACCAATCAGAGGAAGCCTTGTATTAATTTATAAAAAGGATTTGAATGTCTGAGCAGTGATCAGCCCGACTCCATTTTCCAGGAATGGGACGGGAAGACTGTGCTGCTGCCGGAACACCGCGCGGTACGCTACGTACAGTTTATACAGCGCTGACAGCCGATGCGTTGCTTAGTAAAGGAAATTGTTTGGGCCAGCTTGGTTCATATGGACTATTTAAAGTCATAATAATCAGAATACCCTTCCGTGCTATGGTACTATAGTCTCAAATACTCAGATAAAAAAAGCGTAAGGGTTGTATTGCCAACTGAAGCTGCAAAAAAAAAAAAAAAAAAAACTCAAACAAACGTTACAAAATAAATAAATAAATACAGCGCTGAAGATCAGTGCTTCTGCAAATGTTAAATGTATTTTTTATGTTATTTAAAGTCATGGGAGAGATTTACTAAAACTGGAGCACTTAGAATCTGGCGCAGCTGTGCATGGCAGCCAATCAGCTTCTAACCTCAGCTTGTTCAATTAAGGATTGGCTATAAAACCTGGAAGCTGGTTGGTTTCTATGTAGAAGTACACGAGATTTCGCACTCTCCAATTTTTGCAAATAACCCCCATAGTATTCCTGGCGTTAAGCTTTAATTCATAACAGGGAAATTTGATACACTCAATACATTTCAGGGACTCCAAGATCTCCTCCCTTCATCAGGGCTATAAAATTAATATTAAAATGGTTTGCAAACACATGACTTCCATATGTTCATTCATATCAAAGTGTATCAATTCACATAGAAAATAAAAAAAATGTTAAAAATAAAATATTTATAAAAATATACATCACCAGTAATAATAATAGAGACCTATGGGTTGCACAAAAAGAGCAGATCTCATAAAAATGTAATAGTTTTAAAAATAAAATGCACTGGAGATAGATAAAAATGAAAAAAGGGACTGGAAATGCAGACTGGATCCATAATAATATTAAATCTTTGTAAGAATCCAATCAGCAGCAAAGCAAAAATCTCCTAAAAAAAGCCTAGAAAAATCCAACCTACAGAGTGAAAAACAAACCATTGGATGATGAACCGACAGTCAATAGATAATGAACACTGATTAGTAATACAGAATAAATATTAATTTAATAAATGTTTAATAATTAAATTGATAAATATTCATTTATAATACTTACATTTTCATATTGTAAGTCATAAATAATAAATAAAATATAATATGTTACATAATGTTTTTGTTTGAATTATAAGATAACTGAAGACCCAACTATGCAACTACGTGTAATATAAATCATAATATAAAATAATTAATTTATGTATAAAAGTAACATTATACCCATAGGTTATCATGTATTACTGACACTGTGATTATATCAGTGCACATTATGTGACATTACAAAAAAAATGTTATCTATTTTTTTCTAACACCATTTATTGCACAGCAGATACAATGACAGAATTGCAGTTATATATAAAAAAAAAAAATATTGAAAGCAGAAATTGTACATTCTCAAGTATCAAAAACAACATATTTTGTTCAGTATTTTTAAGGTGTTGATAGTGTGGTTTGGTCATCAGGATAGGAAAGAAAGGGGATTTAAGTGACTTTGAACGTGGAATGGTTGTTGGTGCCAGACGGGGAGGTCTGAGTATTTCAAAAACTGCTGATCTACTGGGATTTCCCCCCACAGCCATCTCTAGGTTTACAGAGAATGGTCCAAAAAAGAGAAAATATCCAGTGAGAGGCAGTTGTGTGGAGGAAAATGCCTTGTTGGTCAGAGGAGAATGGGCAGACTGGTTCCAGATGATAAAAGGCAACAGTAACTCAAACAACCACTCATGCAGAAATACCATCTCTGAATTCACAACATGCCCAACCTGAGCAGTACAGTGGCTAAATGGTTAGCCCTTCAGCCAGGCAGTACTAGTGTCGTTGGTTTGAATCCCAGCCACAGCACCACCTGCCTGGAGGTTTGCATGTTCTCCTTCTGCCTGTGTGAGTTTCCTCCGGTACTCCAGTTTCTTCCCCCACTCCAAAGACATGTTGGTAGGTGAATCCTGTCTAAATTGTCCCTAGTATGTGTATGTATGAATGTATGTTAGGGACCTTAGATTGTACGCCCCTTGAGGGTTAGGGACTGATGTGAATGTACAATATATATGTAAAGCTCTGTGTAAATTGACAGCCATACAAGTACCTGAAATAAATATATAAAACTTTGAAGCAAATGGGCTACAGCAGCAGAAGACTACTCCGGGTAGCAAGATGTACCTAATAAAGTGGCCTGTGAGTGTATATTGTATGAATATAAATAAAGCCAATTTACAGTATATATACATCCATATACATATGGTGACTGGTTTGTGGGTGATTTTGTAGACATGAGAGGTAATTACAAATTTGCAAGACTTGTATTTTTTAAAATATGTAAAAAAAATGTAAAAACATATATATATTTGTGTGTGTATTAAAGGCACCTATGACAAAACGTAGATCCAGGTAATGTGTATCTTTCTTTTTTAAAGGGTTTGTAGAGCCAACACTTTTTTGGGGTATATAGAAGGGAAAGATTTAAACCCATCCATGTCTCTTTATCTGGCTGGTAACCTGTTACAGGTAATTTCCCTTTACTTGCAGTCTGGGGACACAACAGGAATTTGAAAAAAAAAAAAAAGTGAGGGGAAATCCCCTTTTAGTTACCACCAGATCCAATGTCCCCATTAGGATATTTCACTTTTATTCCTGTTTTGTGACAACTGCAACATTTGACTTCTGTGTTTTGAAATACTTTTCCTTAAAGGAAAAGTGTTTTTAAATGAAACCAGTTGTTGGTTATTTTGTACTTACTGAAGTGAAACATCATCGTAAGCAGTAAGATCTTCTGCATGATGCTTCTGTGGTTGTTATGGTCCTCTGTCCTCCTCCTTGCTCTCCGTCCTCCTCCTTCTGTCCTCCTCCTTGCTCCCGTCCTCCTCTGTCTCCTGTCCTCCTCCTTGCCTCTGTCCTCCTCTGTCTTCTGTCCTCCTCCTTGCCCTCTGTCCTCCTCTGTCTTCTGTCCTCCTCCTTGTCCTCCGACCTCCTCTGTCTTCTGTCCTCCTCCTTGCCCTCCGTCCTCCTCTGTCTTCTGTCCTCCTCCTTGCCCTCCGTCCTCCTCTGTCTTCTGTCCTCCTCCTTGTCCTCCGTCCTCCTCTGCCTTCTGTCCTCCTCCTTGCCCTCCGTCCTCCTCTGCTTCTGTCCTCCTCCTTGCCCTCCGTCCTCCTCTGTCTTCCTATCCTGATGTGACACAGGACATTAGGTCCCCTTATATACTGTTCCAAAAGCTGTCCAACTGGTTCTTGGTCAGTACCATTTAATGAAAGCAGTGCTACGTCTGCAGGGACATGGGTTGTTCCATAGTTTTCGTTTTAACTGCAAAAACTGGACATTAACATTTATTCTAATGACAAATTGTACAAATTTCACTGAAATATCTTAATTCTTCACTAATTAATTAAAGCCCAACTGGCAGTGGCTAAATATTTGCAGTGGTCTCTTCTTTCCCTTTTCTTCTGCATCTAGCTCTCAATGGGTATGCACACTAATACTTACCTTACCTTTTGGTCCTGCGACAGCTGGTGGTCCTTATCTCTCCAGGGCTGAAATGCTGGCGGCCA